CAGTAGTTAGCCGCCCCCCCAACACCCCTTTCTCTCAGACCTTCCCATGGTTGGTAGTCCCAAAAGAGACACCCCATTTAGAGGCAGCGCCCCAGGTCTGCGGAAGGGGGCGTGGTGAGTGCGTGCTGCAGAATAAATCCTGTAGACCCTGGGGGGTTGGGGGGGGTGGGATGCATGCGCACAACAGCGGAGAAGCCAGTGATGAGGGCTACGGCTCTGGGCTTCCCACCTCTCAGGGAGAGGAGGGCGGGCACCGTGCCTCGGGACTCAGGGTCTCACCACCCATGTTTGGGAGACTCAGAGGTGTGGCCCCAGCTCCAGCCTGCCCTCACCTCCCCCAGCCTTCCTGCCTCCACCCAAGGCCATCTTGGTTTAACTGAGGGCTTAGTTCCAAGCCTTGGAACTGACATCAGAGGGCCCAGGGATTCCCCTCACCAGCCCAAGCTGAAAATGGGGGACTTGAGTTCCAGTCTTCATTCTGTCACTGATCTGCTGCGTGACCCTGAAGAAGACTTCCCCTCCCTGATTCCATCCTGATGTCACATCTGAAGCTTCTAACTTCTACTTCCTGGGCTCAGGATTCCCATGCAACCCGGTGGAGTGTCCCAGGGGGTCTGAGCTATAACGGGATACTTGGAAAATAATCAGAAAATTGGTGGATGGTTCTTTTCCCTCTTTTTTAATCATCTAGGTTTTAATTTCCCTACGTAATAGCAGTGGAAGCATTTGAAAACTGCTACTACTTTTAAATGAGGAACCTGAGGTCCAGAGCAGGCTGGTGACTCACCTGAGGTCACCAGAAGTGTTAGCTACATACTGGAGTCCAGAGCTCAGCGTTCTTGGCTTCCTTTCCAGCAGTTCTCAGCCTTCACCACATCCCTTCCATTTCCTGCTGGGATCCCAGCCCAAGCCTCAGCTCACCAGCCAAGATCCGCTTGTGGAAACTGAGGCCCAGGTAGACAGACACGGGCCCAGGCCCATCCTCCAAGGACAGGGACAGAGTCTGGCCCCGCCCTCCTTGGCTCTCTGGCTTCTTGGCAAGGATCTGCTAAGATCATCCCGGCCGAGGGCCATGCCCAGCAGCCCAGCTTCCCGCTTTACATCCTCGGTACCTGTCTGGAGCATTGGCCAGAGCGGGAGAAGGCTGACAGGGAGAGTTCAGGGCTCAGGGCTCAGCAGCTGGTCCCGGACCTGCTGCTCTATCTGGCAACTTTCGGAGCACCGGCCAGGAGCAGAGCCTACATTAGGCACTTGCAGCAGAAGACGGATTGGTTTGCTGATTTCCGAAGAACCTGCTGTTGTTAGCTATTGGGGATGTATCAGTGCACAGAATGGGCACGAATGCCCACCCTTGTGGAACTCATACTCCAGAGCATGGAGACAGACCAAAAAGAGGGAGAGAGAAAATGTTAGATGTTTTTAAATGTTATGTAGAAAAATAATGCAGGGAAAGGGATAGAAAGTGTGTGGGGAGGGGTCCCTGGGTGGCTCAGTCGGCTAAGTGCCGGCCTTCGGCTCAGGTCATGATCCCAGTGTCCTGGGATGGAGCCCCAAGTCAGGCTCCCTGCTCAGCAGGAGGCCTGCTTCTCCCTCTCCCTCTGCCTGCTGCCCCCCTGCTTGTGTTTGCTCTCTCTCTCTTTCTCTCTGTCAAATAAATATATAAAATATATTTTTTTAAAGTGCCAGGGGGGTCTTAATAGATACAGGCAAATAATTTAAATGAAGTGAATATTTATTAAAGATAATGTCCACAAACTATGAATTACATGGGATTTCTAGAATCTAATGAAGGGAATCTATAAAAAGATAAGAAAAAATACCTTATAATGAACAATTTAAAGCTTACTTGCTGAAATGAAGAAAAAAATAAACCTGTTCACTATCACATCTAATTAACATGGTGCTAAAGTACCCAGCTAGAAGAACAAAGCAACACAAATAATGTGCATTTTTTAAAGGTATAAAATCTGGAAAAGGCACCACTTGCCCTTTACAACCAGAAACAAAGTAAGACAAACTACAAATTAATGATTTTTCTTGAACTCATCAAGGAACTGAGGTCACAAGCCAAACAACTAACCTCACATTCAGAATAGAACAGGTAGGGACGCCTGGGTGGCCCAGTCAGTTAAGCGTCTGCCTTCAGCTCAGGTCATGATCCCAGGACCCTGGGATCAAGTCCCGCATCGGGCTCCCTGCTCAGCGGGGAGCCTGCTTCTCCCTCTGCCTGCCGCTCCCCCTGCTTATGCTCACTCTCTCTCTCTCATTAATTAATTAATTAATAATTGAATAAAATCTTACAAAAAAGAGTAGGACAGATATCTTCAGTTAGGAAATAGAATACTTACTTACTTATGGCAGACATTCATAAATGCCATATAAACTGACAAAAATATTAATCTAGAATTTTGTTTTAATGAAACCCACTGCAAATTAAAAACAGGTTAAAAATGAAAGTATGTAAAAAAAAAAAGATAAACCATGTAAACACTAATCAAAAAGGTCAGGACTCATCAAATTAATTTCAGAAAAAGTAAACTTGAGGGGAAAAAAGGAACATTATCGAGGATAAAGAAAGACATTACAACATAAACACCAAACATACAACTAAAAAAAAAAAAAAGATAGACATTACATTCTGATAAAAGGGTCAGTTCTTCAAAAAGACATAACAATCCTAATTGTGTCTATACGTAAACAATAGAACATCAAAACACATGAGAGAAATTGGTAGATCTCGAAGGAAAAAAAAAATATATCCACAGTTATAGTTGGAAATTGCAACATTTCTTTCTAGAAAATAGAAAAGAGAAAGTGCCAGGGGCAGGGTTGCATCTTTTAATCGGGTCAGTGAGGACTCCATTTGAGAAGGTGACATTTAAGTAGGGATCATAAGAAGAGAGTGGGCTTTGCAGGTATCTGGAAGAAGAGTGTTTCAGGCAAAAGGGACAGCAAGAACAAAGACCCTGAGGCAGGAACATGCCTGGCATGTTCTAGGAGCAATGAGGGAGTCAGTATGGCCGGAGTGGTATGAGTGAGGATAGATTAAGCAAGATAAATAAATATGCAATGTCCATTGGAGACAGGATTTATGGCAGGAAGGAATGAGCTTTTCAGGGGAGGAAGCCCGTGACAAGGGGTAGGTTCAGAACAGGCTGAGAAGAGGGGACTCCAGAGAAGACAGTGGGGGCTTTCTAGGCAAAGAGAAGAGCTAGTGGAAAGGCAGGCTGGTATGAGATGGCTCATCATGTTCAAGCACAAAGCTCCAGTTGCTGGACCAGGAATGAGGCTGCAGGTGTCAGCTGCAGCCAGATTGGGAAGGGCAGAGAAGCAACAAGAGACAGGAGGTCTTGGGGAACCCTAAGAGAAGGTCAGAAGGGTCGGGAGGTTGTGGTAGAGAGTGGGAGATGGAGTTCAAGGTTTGAGAGGCACAGCAGTTCTGGGCAACGGCAAAGGATGGGGAGTGGTTGTGGTCAGAGGGTGAGTGGGGTGGATGGCAGGACTTGGGGATGTGAGGAAGACCAGCCAGGGCCTGTGTGTGCCCTCACCATCAGTCTCAGGATGTTTGGGACCCCCCCAGTGAGGGGTCTCAGTGGCATGAGATGTGGGGGAATGAGCTGTCACCACCAGGGGACACTGCAAGGGAAACCAGTTTGGGCTAGGCAGGTGTCAGCCGCTCGCTCTTCCTTTTCCTTCTCCTCCAAGCAACCCTCTGGGATTGCTCCCCCAAATGTACTGGTACTTCCCGGGCAGTTGGTTCCAGGCGGCTCTGCTGGGCAGGGCCCATGGAGGGCTGAGAGGCAGAGTATAGAAAGGGAAAACCCCCTTGGTTTCTGTCTCACTGCAGGGACCCAGCAGGGAAACCCCACAGATCCTAAAAGGAAAGTGGGCCTCGGGGAAGACCAAGAAACCCCCATCTTCTCCCTGAAGATGGAAAATCCAGGGTAGGGCTAAGGGTGGAGCTGTGCTGGAAGGGAGACCAGTGGTTGATGCAGCCCAGCCCTGACAGCCATCCACAGAGCAGAAACACACAGAGCAGGATTATTCTGGGACCTGACCAAGCCCCATCCTACCTCACACAACCCCAACCTGGTGAACCCTGACCCTAGACATCAACAGCCCAAGCCTGAGCCCTGACCTGAGTCACAGGCTCTGTCAGAACCTTAGCCACAGCCCAAGCTCCGTGCCTAATCTGGACTGAGCTCGAAACCTAACCCCAGATGGTCCCAAGCATGGCCTCCAGGTCACTGATAGCTCTAACCCCAAGCACAGACAGAGCCAGGACGTTGGCCCCAGACAAAGCTCTAGATCAAGTCCTAAACCTGGTTATAGACAGAGCTCTAATGTTAGATCTTACTCTGGCCAAAGACTGAGCTCTTGGCTCTGAATGGACCTGTTCTCATCCGTCCTGACCCTGGCTGTAGGCTGAACCCTGATCCTGCCCAGACAGGGACGCCACTGCTTCACACAAAGTCCCATCCCAGCTCCACAAGGAGCTCCCCACTCAGCTCCCTCCCTCAGCCATCTGGTAAACCAGAAAAGAGTAGGATGACTCAAAACCCCAAGTCCTCTCTGATGGGCAATCCCCTTACCTGGCCATCCATCCTCTATGGTACATTGAGCTGGTGATGGCACTAGGATGATAATGACACAGCAGAGGAGTAGGAGGGTTTGAGTCTCTGGGACCTACCAGTCCCTAGAGCAGTGGCTCACCCAGGAGCGGGGATGTGAGGGGAGGGCTGGTCCTGAAAGCTGAGCAGGGGTTCTGGAGCTTGGATTGACAGAAACCCCAGCTTCCCGCCACCCCCCACTGCACCTCCCGCCCCCTCTGGGAAGGGAAATGACATTTCCCCATTTCAGCAAGGGGTGGTGAGGAGAGAAGACTGAGTGCAAAGCCGAAAGTACAAGCAGGACGGAAAGTGAAACCGGCGCAGCCCCCAGTATAAGACCCCTGCCCGGGAGATGGCTGGCCACACAGGCTGGGCCCCGCTCTGGGCCAGATGGCAGGCGACCTTGGCTGGCGTGAGTCTGAGGCCAGGGCTGGGGGTGGAGGGGTGGCAAGCTTGGTTGAGACTGGGCAGGGGATGGGAGGTCTTGACGGGTGTGGATGGGGGCCAGGGGCTGAGCGGGCAACTACTTGGCCAAGACTGAGGATACAGGATACAGTCAACAGGAGAATGGGAATGAGTCTGGCATGAATGGGGGCCAGGGGCAGAGGGGTCATGGTTCGGCCAGGGCTGGGCAGAGGATGGGAAGGCTTGACTGGCCTGAAGGGAGAGAGGTGGGCAGCCAGTTTGACCAGGACCAGGACCAGGCAGATAAATGAAGAGTTTGGTTGGAGTGAATGAGCAGGGACCAGTTTGGCTGAGAACTGGGGCTGGTAGAGGAAGCAATAGCAGGAGGAGTTGGCTGGAGTGTGGGGCTGGGGCCAAGGAGTCAACAGCCTAACTGGGTCAAGGGTCTGTAGCTCGGAAGGAGGTCCAATCTGCAGTTGGTGACTCAAAGAGTCAGAGGCTGGAACCAGAGCCACAGGAAGAGGAGCCAGAGTAAGGACCAAGGGCTGGAGGATGGGGACAGAGCCAGGGCCAATGACCCAGGATTGGGTACAGAGGGTAGGGAGAAGCCACGGGAAGGGTCTGGGGCTCCAGAGCTCAGACAAGAAGCAGAGGGTCAATAGGAAATGGCTCAGCTCAATTCTGGGTGGGCAATATCCACCAGAGCCTGGGGGCATGCACTTTCCCTCAAAGTAGAGCTAAGAGGAACCCCCCACCGTCTGAAGTCTCTGGGATGCCAGAGTGGTCCCCAAGCCAGGGTAGCCTGAATGCTGGGGGTTGCAGGCACTGCCCCCCACCTCTGGAAGTACATTGGTGAATGGAAGTACCCAGAAGCTCCCCTTAGTCTTTATTTACAGGACAATTTTGGGAGCAGAGCCCAGGGGTTAGAGATCAAGAATGGCACAGAGAGGAGGGAGAGCAGGAACAGACTTATAGACTTACAGCCTAGTTTTGGTTTGTGTTTCGAGAATTGTGTAACTCCAGTGATTGCTAGATTTCCTCTCCCTGATGGAGAAACCAGGAAACACTGCCCTCTTCCCAGAGCTCCCACTCTAGGGCCTCTCTCTCTTCTGTCCAGGAAATATAGGGCAGGAAGTAGTTTCAGAAATCAGTTGGTCTGGGGTGCCTGGGTGGCTCAGATGGTTAAGCGTCTGCCTTCGGCTCTGGTCATGATCCCAGGGTCCTGGGATCCAGCTCCATGTCTGGCTCCTGGCTCGGCGGGGAGCCTGCTTCTCCCTCTCCCTCTGCCTCTCCCCTGCTTATGCTCTCGCTCTCTCTGTATCTCTCTGTCTCAGATGAATAAATTAAAAAAAAAAAAAAGAAAGAAAGAAAAGAAATCAGTTGGTCTGACTCCCCCATTTTACAGATGGGAACCTGAGGCACAGAGATAAGAGATGACTTGCTCAAGGGAAGAACCTGAATGAGAAACCGAGGTTCTGCCTCCCATTCTGGGCTCTCCTCTTCCTGGCACCCCCTGTTCTTCCAACACTGCAGAGTGACCCACCTTCCTTGGTGGTGGCTGGACCAACCTGTCCTTCTGACTCCCTGGGATAGAGCCTCCAGCACCGCCTGCCCACCTCTGGGGCTCTAGTTCAGGTCATCAGAGCCGCCTGGCTAAGCCCAAGGAATCCTCAGCAGAACACAGTGTGCCCACTCCGGGGGAGGTGGCTGCCTCCTCTAAGTTCGCTGGGGGAAGCACAGAGGCTCTGCCTTTGGGCAGATCTGGAATCCAGTCCTGGTTCCCTCACTCTCTAGCTATTTGGCCAACTTCACCGGGCCTTATTTTCCTCATCTGCAAAATGCACAGGATAATAGCACCCAGGCTACCACATACGGTTGAGTGGTTTGTTCACTGAAAAAGACACTTGGCCAAGGGAGTTGGTGGGGGTCAAGATCCAGCCTGAGATTTGCTTGCAAAGGTGGGTACTCTGAGCAAGGTTGTGTCTGTCTTGGAGAAGGGGTATCTTCTTTTCATTCATACAGAGATCCTATATGGTGTCCTCAAAAACTTCCATCTTATTAGTGGTTGTGCGGGGTCAGCGAGATGGCACACAGGGCTTGCCTATAGTGCAGGTTAGAAAAGGCACGTGAGTTCTTCTCAAGCCTTCCCCTCATCTGGCCCACCAACTCCGCGCCCCTCTCCAGGGCTCGGCCTTTTGCTGCTCTCCTTGCTCCTGGCTCGAGCTGGTGTCTGGGGATTCCCGAGACCGCCAGGGAGGTCCCCCCTGAGCCTGCAGGAGTTGCAGAGGGAGTTCAAGGTCAGCCTGCAGCTCGCCAGGAAGCTATTCTCCGAGGTTCGGACCCAGGCCCACCGCTTTGTGAGTCACCCTAATGCAACTGGTTTTGGGGATGGGCAAATCCCCACTCCCTCTGGTCCCCACTAACAGACCTTGCCCCCATAGGCTGAATCTCAACTGCCAGGAGTGAGCCTGGACCTCCTGCCCCTGGGACATCAGCTCCCCAACGTCTCCCTGACCTTCCAGGCCTGGCACAGCCTCTCTGTGAGTTGGGGGCCAGAGGGGTGGGGCAGGAGAGCTAGCAGTAAGGCTGGCCCTGGGTGGATGGAGATGAAGTCGGGGATTGAATGGAAAATGGATTTGGGGAAGAGTGGAAGAATCGGATCTGGATGAGGCTGAGTATGTCATCGGATATAAAAATTCAGCTGGAATAAAGGAGTGGTGTGAGAATGAGGCTGCACCTATGGAGGAGGGATGGGGTTGGGATTAGGAGTGGGACTAGGGTTGGAAGGAGGCTGGAGACAGGATAAAACCACAAGCAAGGCGACGGACAGGAAAGGGGATGGTGAAGAAGGGGATAGAGTGGGGCTGTGGACAGAGAGTGACAGGATGGTGAACATGGGGTTGGGTTTGATCCTTAGCCTGTGAGCCTTGCCTGACCCATTCCCTCCCTCCCACAGGACCCAGAACGACTCTGCTTCCTCTCCATGATGCTTCGCCCCTTCCATGCCCTCTTGGGAGGCCTGGGAGGCCAGAGGGGCTGGACCAGCTCAGAGAAGATGCAGCTGTGGACCATGAGGCTGGATCTCCGGGATTTGCAGCGGCATCTCCGCTTCCAGGTAGAGTGTCCACCCACCTCCTCAACTCCCAGAGACCAACACAAAAAACTGAAGCTCATTGGCTCCCTTTTACAAACACCCCCTGCCTACAGGTTGGGTAAGTTTGGAGGGAGATGCTCTAGACCCTCGGTGTATTGGAGGGAGGTGGGGGGAGTGGCTCTGTCCCCTGAATCTCTGCCTTCTCTTGGGGTCTTGGTCTGAACAGCTCTGAAGCACCCGGAACAGCTGTTGGCATCAACAGACCCTGTAACAAAGCTGGTTCCCTTCTCCCTCAGCCTCTCACATCACCAGGCCCTCCCGAACATTTCCAAGGGAAACTGGCATTTTCCTCTTAACAAAAGGAAAACAGAAAATGCAAGCAGCATGAAAACTAGCTATACCACCTTTCTGTCCATTTCAGATCCTAAAATGACCCTTAAGAGAAGAACTTCTGGGGTCCCAAATGCCCAGGGCAATCCTGGATGAGTGTGCCACCTCCATGAGCAGCATCTTGCTCTGTGACTTCCGTTTTCTTGAACCAAAAAATCAGGCGGGACGCGTGAGGTGATGACATAATGGAAGATCTAAAGTAGGGGCTATCCAGGGAAATCATGACCTTGTGGTCTCTGATGTCATTCTGTACCGCTGGGAACATAAAAGAACCAGGATGTGCTCTGGGTCTCAGCTTGGCCATTGTCTGACCCATGGGCGTCTCCTCGCAGGTGCTGGCCGCGGGACTCAACCTCCCCGAGGAGGAGGAGAATGAGGAGAGGAAGGGGCTGCTCGAACGGGCTCCGGGTGGCCCCTCACAGACGTCAGCACAGCTGTCCTGGCCCCAGCTCCTCTACACCTACCAGTTGCTGCATTCCTTGGAGCTTGTCTTGGCTCGGGCCATGAGGGACTTGCTCTTGCTCTCCCAAGCCAGAAACCCAGCCCCACCCTTGGGGTGCTCAACATTCAGCTCCCAGCCCTGATGGGATGACTTCTTAGTCCTGTCCCTTCACCTTTCAGAACCTGAGGACTGGGGTCTGGGCAACGAGACAGCCCCCAGCTCATTTGCCTTAAGCCAGGCAGGACTCCACCGGGCTCCCACCCCGATCCCTACCCAATAACTTAAGGCCCCTCCGGTCCCTGGCAGATATTTATTTCTTGGATATTTATTTATTGTTTAGGGAAATGATGGTTTATTTATTGTTTCAGAGCCTGCTAGCTGTCCTCGGGCTAGGCCACCGTGCGGGGTGCCCAATAAAGCACTCTCACCCTCCCTCGGCCTCAGCTTCTTTTCAGAGAAGGGGTACCTGACTCCCAAGGGACAAGAATCTGTAGCCTCTGGCCACCCTGGGCCCCTTTCTGCTCCTAAATTCTGGGGGCTCCTGGGTACCTTCCTCCATTCTGGCTTGCTGGGCCGGTGGGTGCCATAGTAACCAGCAGAGTTGTGAGTTTTTGAAAGCTCAGGGCCGCTGACCATCTGTTTCCCACCCACCTCCCACTGCAAATGGGGCTTGTAGGCCCTGCTGACCCCCTTCTTCTGGGCTAGCTCCCACCCCCGAGGTTTGGGTGCTGTTCCACAGCTTTCCAGAAGGCCCCGGGTGGGGGACTGGGAGCAGTCCAGGAGGGAAGGCTGCGGGAAGAACTGTCTCGTCCCCTTGGTCCTCCAGGCGGCCGAGACAGGTGAGAGAGGCGGTCAGGACAGGCCGTGAGAGGCGGTCCCAGTGGGCAGGGAGTCTGTCGGCCACATTGCCGAGTCATGCTCCTCAAGTTCATGGTCCTCACAGGCGTCTGGTTCGGTCTGTTCCGAGAATGACACACTGAGAACCTGAGGCCCAGAGGGTGGAAAGGGTATGTCCAAAGTGGCAGAGGGAGACAGGCCGCGCAGGGTTTGGAGGATCCCTCTGAGCCTCACTTGGAGTCGGGCTCCCGGGGGCTCAGGGCCCTCCCTGCGGCTTTGGCTGGCCCAGCCGGGCTTGCAGCTCCTGCATCATGCCGGTGTGTGCAAGACCAAACCTGCGGACGGACAGAGGTCAGGGGAGCTGGTCTCCAGGCGGCCAAGGCCTCCTCCCCAGGCCAGCCCAGCCCAGCCACCTCACCCTGGGCTTACCCATGTCCCAGCGGCCTTCTCCTGGCTGGCAGTGGGGTCCCCTCAGGCTTTGGGGGGCTGGGCTCTGGGGGCTCCTCTGGCTGGAGAAGTCTCTGCTCGCGAGCTGACATCTCTTCCTCGGGTGGGGGGCGAGGAGGCTCCCCCTGCTGCTCAGGGGCGCCGGTCCGTCGGAAAGAGGGCCGGGAGCGGCGCAGTGAGGAGTTGCGAGACAGGAGCACACGGCTCCGGGGCACAGAGACGTCCAGGAGAGACCCAGGGAGCAGGGCCTGCAGGGCAGGGGGCACAGAGTACCGTGGGGCCGGATTCGAGATTCTGCTCTATCCAGCCCCGGACCCCAGCTGGGGCTCTCACCTCACTCCAGCTGGTGCCCGCACCCTGGCCGGCACTTGCTGCCGTCTCCCCGTGGGGCCCACGCTCGGCCTCTGCAGGCTCCTGGTGTGTTGACTGGTCCTCCGGGCCCTGGACGTCCTCCGGGCCTTCGGGAACAATCTCCTCGGCCTGTGCTCTCCGGTCTTCAGTCACCGCAACATCCTCCACATCAAGGGGCCTTCTTGCCTCTCCCTCGGGGTGGTGGTCCCCACATTGCCCCTCCCTGCCCCGCCCCTGCTCCTTCATTTGCCATCCCACAGCCTCCTCTTCCAACAGCGTCTGCCCTCCTGGGAGCCCCTCGGCCTCCACTGTGGCCACGGTGCCCTCTGCCTTCGCCACCTGGGAGCCCGAGATAAAGCCACCCATCTCACAGCTTCCTTCTGCCGCCGCAGGCTCCCTGACCTCCACCCACTCTCCCCCGGGCTCACCCTCTCTGGCCTCCAAAGCCTCGGCTTGGCCCCCTCTGCCAGCCACCTCCTCGTCTGCAGAGCCCGCCAGGCCAAACTCCGGCCCACCTCGGTTTTCTCCCCATGTAGCCTCTACCAGCTCCACGCCTCCCCCAGCCTCCTGCTTCCCTTTGGAGTCCCCAGCTTCCCCAGCCTCTCTTTCGAGCCCTCCCCCAGCTCCAGCAGCCCTTCCAACCAGAGCTACCTTATCCCTCACTATCTCAGCAGCCAAAGAACTGACCCCTGGGTCCTCGCTGTCCTGGAGGCTCCGAGCGGCCTCCTCCAGCCTCCAGTCTCCACTGGATGTTGTGTCTGCCCCCCAGGGCACTGTGGCCTCCACCTCCGCATCCTCGGTTTCTCTAGCATCTGACTCTCCCAGCGACTGACCTGTCCCTGCGTCTGCCCCATGCCTTCCACCCAGCTCCTGGCTCTCTGCTCCAAGGGTGTCTCCCTCCTCTGCCCCGTACCCTGCGTCCTGGGCTTTCTTCCACTCCCCGCCTGCCTCCGGGACATCTGGGAGCGCAGACTCTCGGCCTCCCTGGGCCTCCTTCGGGGCCTGGCCTCCTGCAGCCTCCTCCTCCCCCTCTTCAGTATCTGCTTTTTCTTCCTGGGTATCCCCTCCCTCCACATCCCTTCTCTGGTTCTCCCAGACTTCTGCCCCAGGGGCATCAGGCTTTACATCTCCCACTTTCCTGGGGTATTCCTCCAGGCTCCCTTCCATCTCCTCTTTGCTCAGAGCTGAAACACCCCAGAGCTCTTCCTCACCCCCCTGTCCTTCCTCGGGCTGCTCTGTCAGGGTCTGGGGGCCTGCCATCAGCTCAGGTTCTTGGCCTTCAGTGATTTCGTGCTCAAGGCCACCCCACTCCACCCTCTGTGCTTCTCCGCCTGTCTGAGCCTCCCCCTCACTCCTCTCCCCGCCGAACTCCTTCTCAGGACTGCTGGTCTCTAGGGTTGCTTCCAGGTCAGCATCCCCTTCAGCCTCATTTGTCATGTCGTCCTTGGGCAACTCAGCCTCTGAGGCCCAGCAACCCTCTTCCTCCTCTTTGGTCCTCTCTGCCTCCACCACCTCCTCCGGACTGGCTGGAACAGTCCTGATCGCTGAGGCTTGCCTCCCCTCAGCCACTTTCCCTTCCTGATCTGCTTGGATCTCAAAGCCCTCCCCTACCTCCCCCTCTGACCCATGGCCTTCTGCAGCCTCCCCCGCTGCTGTCTGGTCCTTAGTTGCTTCTTCTGTGCCCTTAGTTCCCAGGGACTGGGTTTCTTTGGGGGAAAAGCTCATCTCAGCCTCTCTATTCTCATCCATTTCCTCCTCCTGGTCTCCCCTGGAGGCCTCCTCGAATGCCCAGGCCCTCCCAGTGCCCTCTGAGATCCTTTCTCCTGAGACTTCCCCATATTCTCTCTTCCTGGCTCCTGAGAGGTCACCCTCCTTCCCAACTGAGGTTGTCCTGGCCTCTACCCTGACTAAAGTTATTCCAGCCTCCTCCCTGCCTGAGGCTGTTCTATCCTCCTCCTCCTCCTCCCTGCCTGAGGCTGTGCTGTCCTCCTCCTTGCCTGAGGTTGTCCCGTCCTCCTCCCTGCCTGAGGCTATTCCGTCCTCCTCCCTGCTTGAGGTTGTCCCGTCCTCCTCCCTGCCTGAGGCTGTGTTGTCCTCCCCACTCTCTGAGGCTGTGCTGTCCACCTCCCTGCCTGAGGCTGTCCCGTCCTCCTCCCTGCCTGAGGATGTCCCAGCCTCCTCCTTGCCTGAAACTGTCCTGGCCTCCTCCCTGTCTGAGGTTGTGCCATCCTCCACTCTGCTTGAGGTTGTCCCGTCCTCCTCCCTGCCTGAGGCTGTCCCGTCCTCCTCCCTGACTGAGGCTGTCCCGTCCTCCTCCCTGCCTGAGGCTGTGCCGTCCTCCCCACTCTCTGAGGCTGTGCTGTCCTCCACTCTGTTTGAGGTCGTCCCGTCCTCCTCCCTGCCTGAGGCTGTGCCGTCCTCCCCACTCTCTGAGGCTGTGCTGTCCTCCACTCTGTTTGAGGTCGTCCCGTCCTCCTCCCTGCCTGAGGCTGTGCTGTCCTCCACTCTGTTTGAGGTCATCCCGTCCTCCTCCCTGCCTGAGGCTGTCCCGTCCTCCTCCCTGCCTGAGGATGTCCCAGCCTCCTCCTTGCCTGAAACTGTCCTGGCTTCCTCCCTGTCTGAGGCTGTGCCATCCTCCACTCTGCTTGAGGTTGTCCCGTCCTCCTCCCTGCCTGAGGCTGTCCCGTCCTCCTCCCTGACTGAGGCTGTCCCGTCCTCCTCCCTGCCTGAGGCTGTGCCGTCCTCCCCACTCTCTGAGGCTGTCCCGTCCTCCTCCCTGACTGAGGCTGTCCCGTCCTCCTCCCTGCCTGAGGCTGTGCCGTCCTCCCCACTCTCTGAGGCTGTGCTGTCCTCCACTCTGTTTGAGGTCATCCCGTCCTCCTCCCTGCCTGAGGCTGTCCCGTCCTCCTCCCTGCCTGAGGATGTCCCAGCCTCCTCCTTGCCTGAAACTGTCCTGGCTTCCTCCCTGTCTGAGGCTGTGCCATCCTCCACTCTGCTTGAGGTTGTCCCGTCCTCCTCCCTGCCTGAGGCTGTCCCGTCCTCCTCCCTGCCTGAGGCTGTGCCGTCCTCCCCACTCTCTGAGGCTGTGCTGTCCTCCACTCTGTTTGAGGTCGTCCCATCCTCCTCCCTGCCTGAGGCTGTCCTGTCCTCCTCCCTGCCTGAGGATGTCCCAGCCTCCTCCTTGCCTGAAACTGTCCTAGCTTCCTCCCTGTCTGAGGCTGTGCCATCCTCCACTCTGCTTGAGGTTGTCCCGTCCTCCTCCCTGCCTGAGGATGTCCCAGCCTCCTCCTTGCCTGAGACTGTCCTGGCTTCCTCCCTGTCTGAGGCTTTGCTGTCCTCCTCCCTGTCTGAGGCCTTGCTGTCCTCCTCCCTGCCTGAGGCTGTCCCATCCTCCTCCCTGCCTGAGGCTGTCCCGTCCTCCTCCCTGCCTGAGGCTGTCCCGTCCTCCTCCCTGCCTGAGGTTGTCCCATCCTCAGATTCTGTCCCTGACTCCTGTGCTTCCTGTGCCCTTGTGCTTTGGCTACCCCTTAGGACCCCCATCACCTCTTCTTCCTTCCCGGTCTCTTTGGCTCCAGACCCCTGGATCTCCTCTGCAACTGTCTCCTTGACCGTTTGCTCTAACAACCCCCTGCTGTCCCCTGCTACCTTTTGTCCATCAGCACCTACCTCCCCCTCAGGCTCCCAGTGCCAGGTCCACTCTGACTCCACCTTCCTGGCCACCTCTGGTTTTCTTTCCCTGCCCTCTTCCGCCTCCTCCTCCTGTTCCCAGGTTCTCGGTGTCTCCTCTCTGTTCACTTCCTGCTCATTGGGCCCTTGACTCTCCCGGGCTTGACTGCTATTGTCTCGACCAGCCTCAGACCCTGCCTTGGACTCCTTTCTGGCCTCTAAGTGGGCCCTTGGCTCCTGGCACCTGGCAGCCTCGGCTGCTGCCCAGACCCCAGTGTCCTGTCTGTCTGCCTGAGACCCATGGGAACTGCCTTCTTCCCAACCCCAGGTCTGTTCTGTTGCTGAACTTCCCTCCTGGCGTCTTCCAGCCTCCCCGGGCCCTCTCAGCCCTCCAGCCTCCTGATTTGGGCTGCCTCCAAGGCCCTCCAAGGCCTCCTGGGCTTCCTTCTCTTCAGGCTTCCCTGGCCTTCCTGCAGCCACCTCCCCCAGCTCCTCAGCTGCCCTCGCCTCCTTCCTCTCTGCAGTGGGGACCTCAGCTTCCATAAGGTAGGAGACAAAGGAGCTGAGGGAATCCTAGAAGAGAAGGGGGGGAGGGCACAAAGGCATTAAGGGGAGGCCCTCTCCCCCAGCCCTCCTTCTTGGGACCCTGGCCCAGAGGAACTCGGGCCACAGAAGAGGGGTTCTGGGATCTGGGAGGGGAAAGAAAACTGGATTTGCAGAAGGAAGAAGAAAGGGCTAGATTAGGGGTAGATTGATGTGTCTATGGAGGTATGGGGATTGAAATCCAGAAACGATCAGGCTAGGAGGCTACCTGATCCTGGGAAAGGGATGTCAAGTCTGAGGAGAGTCTCAAAGGGAGGAGGGAAGGAGGTGAGGCCCCAGGGAGCAGGGTGAAAGTCTCTGACATCTCTTTGCCCCTCTCACCAGTGCTCCCCGCAAGGCCTGATGCAGCCTAGGGAGATGTAGCCGGAGGAAATCCATCCTGTCTGTCTCTGTCTGTGTGTCCAGAAAGCTGACAAATGACCGTCCCCACCCACCGAGACAAGCCAGTCTTCCCCGGGGGCCCAAGATACTTCCTCTTCCCCTGTGTCTCCCTGACGCATCCCCTGTTCAGGCCCTGCCCACCCTCCGCAGTGCACAGAGCAGCTTCCAGCCCTGGCTGGGAAATGGGTGTGCATCACACAGGGGACTCAGGTGCATATTTGGAGCTGAAGGGCAAGGGGGGAGGCCATAAAGAAAAACATGGGAGCAGGAGCCCTCAGAATTGGGGACGGGGGGAGGGGGCGTGTGGCAACTGCACTCAAGTGACTCAGGTCTTGTATTCACACCTCAGCCATTTCCGGCTCCCCCTAAGCCACAGCCACTCTGTGAGAGGAAGCTGGGGTTTGTGGTTCCTGTTTTGCCTAGGGACAAAGAGTAGGAGTGAAGAGGGGCTGGTAAGAGCTTTGGCTTCTCATTTCAGGGTCATTAATGCTTCCTCAAAGGGAAGAAGGGGCTGGATTGGTGGCTCCAGTGCCCATTCCCTCATCCGTAGTCATTCTTGCGAAACAAAACTTGGCTAAGCTTTGTATTGTGGTTATTTGTGTCTACCTCCCACCCTCCTGCGAGTTCCTTGAAGGCACAGGCCATGTATGACATGTTGCTCAGTTTGTCCCACACGGGTAGTAGGACACCATTTTTCACTGGTTGAGTAACCTGGGAAGCAGACCAAAGGGGGCACATTTCAAAGAGCAATCTGAGGACTTGGTGGTGAGAAAGAGCTGGTAGAGGTGGGCACCAGCTGGTGGAAGCCCATAGAAGAGATTAGCAGGGGAAGGACTCACTGAAGAAAATTCAGGATGCTGCTTTACCACCTAGAGAAAGGTAAGAGAATAATCACTTCTTATTTTGGACTATGTGAAATGCCTTTGATCTACACCTCTTCCCGCAATCCCCTCCCTGATCGCCACTTTCCAAATTTCCAATTAGAGGAACTAGATGAGATCACAGAATGAGACTCTTGGACCTTAGAATCGTCTGGTCTAAGCATTCTCGAGGCAGGCAGGAATTCTGCCGCAGCCTGCTGAGCCGAGCACACCTGCCTCTGGTGCTCTATTCCCTATTGTTAAAAGGGTCTCTAAGGTCAGCTTTAGGGCTAACCTTGTATCATCACCAGCAACTTTCCTTTTTTTGTTTTCTCATCTGTAAAACCAGGGGTTGGACTATTTGTGCTATTCTTTGGTTCTGGGATAATTAGGGGAAAGTGATCTCTTTAATGCTTTGGATATTGCCAATAGACAGAAATCCTCTTAAGTGAGCGTTATCTTGATTTTCAGTTCTCAAAGCAATCTAAGGGCAACAGAGAGGAATAAGAATGCCCTGAGCTGGCTGTCTTTGTTCCCAGCCAGAAACGGGGACTAGAGCAGCCGGGTGGCCATATTTATTTCTGGCAATTGAGGGCCGCGAAAGGAGCTGAAGCCGCTCACTGCCATGACTAGTCCTGGCACGACAGGGCCAACACCTTGAGCGCCGCTAGTTTAACGTCACGGCTCTTCTTGCTGATCCTGCCCGCTCCAGTTTTAAACCAGCGGTTCCGGGGTTCTCCCGGCCTCTCTCTGTCCCCCGCCCCGAGGCTGGGAAAGCCTGAAGCCAAGACAGAGAGAGGACCCGGAAGTTGTGGTGACCTCCAAGCACGTGATGAAAGCACCGCGGATGCTGTCACGTGACCCGCCAACCTGCGGTACCTCGGGGCCGAACTTGCGGCTGCTCTTAAAGGTACAGACCGCGGAGCCCCCTGCTTTAAAGGGGGCTGGGGCAGAGTCCCACGGGTGGGGCGTGGTGGGGGGTGCGAGGGCGCGAGATGGAGCCCCGGGGTAACGTGGTGGGTCGCCCGGCGCGAGTGCAGCGGAGAAGCCGGAGCCGGGACCTGCAGTGGGGCGTTGATCCTTCTCATCTGTCGCAGACCCTCACCCGCCCGGTCGGAGCCAATTCTGGACTCTCGCAGACTTTGAACCCTTCGCGGGACCTGAACTTGATGCCATGGGAGGCTGTGCGGGCTCGCGGCGGCGCCTTTTGGATTCCGAGGGTGCGTATTCCCGCCCACCCTCCTAAGAGTGACCGCCACTGCCCCGCGACCCACCTGATTCGGGGCTCGGGCTCTGGCTCGGCCCCGGGAGGACACCCGTGGGGCCCTCGTGCACCTGCGAGTGGGGTGGGGGTCATGCTCTCTTCTCGCTCTCTCAGGGGAGGAGAGCACCCCGGAACCTCTGCCCCCTCTGCTGGACCGTCGGGGCGCCCTTTGGAGGAACATGATGGGTTTCTGGTGAGTGGCCCGAAGAGTTCAGCAGAAGTAAAAAGTGGGGTGGGAAGAGTTGGGAAGCAACAGGAGGAAAAAGGGAAGAAAGAGTTGAGCTGCGAAAAGGGAGCTGCATTCACAAATATTTACTGAACCAGTTGGTTTGCCCTGAGGCAGCGTGTAAACCTCCAAGACTTCACTCATTTACTTCCCACCTTCACGTTTGGGCAAGATCCTACTACCAAATTTGTAAATACGTGTTTTTTTTAGAAGAAAACTTTAAGTCATTACTCTAGATGGGAAGCCAATGTTTTTCCTAATGCACGTTTTAATAAACGCATCCCCACTTTTTGAAAGGCCATCCATCTACCTCCTCAAATCGTTCCAATATTGAGCCTTGGGAAATCCTTCTAGCGCTGATCTGAACATCGAGGGCTTCGGTGGCACACTGGGTTGGAAGTGACTTCCCATGTGACTCTGAAAGAGTCCTGTCGCCTCTCTGAGCCTCTCTGGTTGCCTGCAGCAAAATGGGAAGAATGGTGGGACCACTTCGTAGGCTTGTGAAAAGAGCACATGAAATCTCTGGCACTGGGCCCAGTTCCTTTCCCATCACTGAGTGCAGCTCTGGGAAATGAGAGTAAGCAAAAAAAGATCCTTCATGGGTCATAAAGGGCTTTGGTAGGATCTTCTTTTAATCCCCACAGACCCTGTGAGGTAGTGAGAAGGAAAACCTGTGTCCCCATTTACACATGAGTAGCCCGAGGCCACTCAAGTAGGAAGTGGCAGAATCCTTTGGGCTTCAAGCCCCAGGAGCTTTCTACTGTTCCATAGCGCATCAGAGACAGTGGATCAGTGGATGAGAAATGCCCCAGGAACTGAACCATGGTGGGAGCTTGGAGGAGAGAGTCAAGGGTGACTTTCTTCTCTTCCTGGGGGAGACGAGATGTGAACCCAAGTCTGTCGTCCCAAAGCCTGTATTTCTAGCCCTAACACTGAAATGGAGATGGGGTCTGGTGAGAGAGAAGAACAAGGGAGCTGATTGAAGGCCATAGGAAGGAGAGATTTGGTGCTAGGACTGTGACTAGATTGTAAGCCTGGAAGGAGGTTAAGATCTGTTCTTATATGTCAGTTATATCTCAATAAAACGGAAGGGGAAAAAAGTCTATCCTGCTCACTCCAGGCTCCTGGGCCTTTGCAACAACTTCTCTTACGTGGTGATGCTCAGTGCTGCCCATGACATCCTTAGCCACCAGAGGGCATCTGGGAACCAGAGCCATGTAAGTGACCCTCTCTACCGCCACCACCATGTTTAGTCCTTATGGGAAGATGAGGGACTCACTCTAGAGCAGGGACCCCTTTGAAAAACTCATGGTATGGGGTGGCCAAGGGGTGGGCCAAGGGGACTAAAGTTCCCAGTCTCCCAGACCACAGAGCAGGAAGGGTTTTTAAGAATCAGTTGGTGCCACGTATACAAACTCAGATGTTGGCCGGGTGGGGCCGTGGCCTAAGACAGCGTTTCTTAACCCCAGCGCTGTTCATTTTAGGCTGGAGAATTCTTTGTTGTGGGGCTTTCCTGTGCATTGTACGGTGCTTAGCGGCACCCCTGTTCTCTACCAGCAGCATATCCCCTGTTCTATAGTTGAGACAAGAATGTCTCCAGACAGGGCGCCTGGGTGGCTCAGTTGGTTAAGCGACTGCCTTCAGCTCAGGTCATGATCCTGGAGTCCCGGGATCGAGTCCCGCATCGGGCTCCCTGCTCAGCGGGGAGTCTGCTTCTCCCTCTGACCCTCCCCCCTCTCATGCTCTCTGTCTCTCATTCTCTCTCAAATAAATAAATAAATAAATCTTAAAAAAAAAAGAATGTCTCCAGACATTGCCCAATGTTCCCTGGGGGGTATAATCACCTCCAGTTGAGACCCTCTTGTCTGTGATGAGCTGGGGGCAGGGCAGGGGGTGGGGGGAGTACATGCCAAAGGAGTGCAGCTGCCACCTTGCAAATCCAACAGGGAGTTTGGTCCAAGGTCAGCTTTTCTGGAAACCCTTTTTTTTTTTTCTTGGCTGAGTAGCTACAAAGACTTGATCAAATTATTTAAAAACGTTGGCATTTACATATTTGCGTGTCTACATAAAACAGTTACTTGGAATCCTCAGGTCAGGGGTGGCTCGGGTGGTCCACACATGAGCCTGGCAGGGAAACAGATGAGACCAGGCTTGGAGCCATGGGGCTTTAAAAAACTGGACGTCCTCCGAGGGGCCTAAGAGGAGTAGGGCGAAGAGGAAAGGGTCACATCGGGGGTTTGATTTAACCCCACCCTCACAGATCTCTAAGTGAAGCTCCTTTCCCATTCTCAGGGGAGAGAGACCCATTTCCAGACCATAGCTCTACTGCATATACACCCAATCCCTAAAATCCAAGTGGTAACCACACCCAAGCATCCGCTGGAAGAGGTCCTTATAAAATATTTATATCAGGGGCGCCTGGGTGGCTCAGTTGGTTAAGCGACTGCCTTCGGCTCAGGTCATGATCCTGGAGTCCCAGGATCGAGTCCCGCATCGGGCTCCCTGCTCGGCAGGGAGTCTGCTTCTCCCTCTGACCCTCCTCCCTCTCATGCTCTCTGTCTCTCATTCTCTCTCTCGCAAAAAAAAAAAAAAAAAAAAAAATCTTAAAATATTTATATCAGAGAAAACAAGGCACTTTGGGAGCATTACAGCTCACTCTCCTACCTGTACATCGTTCTAGACAGAAAGTAAAAATTTAGAAGCCCAAATTTTTGAAAATGAAAGCTCCTGAATGTGTTACCCAAGTAGAGCCCATTTACGGGGCCATCTTTGGCCTTTGGGTCCTTAGTTTGAGCTTTCTACAGTAACCTCACCTCCCCGTTATGCATGTAGAGAAACTGAGGTCCCAAGAGGCCAGTGTTGACCCAAGGCCATCCCTCAAGTTAGGGCTGAGCTGGGACTGGAGCCAGGTTGTGTCTCCTCTTGCCTCCCTGGGTGAAAGACTTTCCTCTGTCATCAGGTGGACCCAGACCCACCGCCCACCCCCCACAATAGCTCATCTCGATTTGACTGCAACTCTGTCTCCACGGCTGTGAGTACCCATCTGGTCCCCCCCGACCCCCGCCCCGTCCCTCAGCACCCAGCTGCGACCACCGTGATTATAATAATTAAGACCATTTCCTGAGCCTTTTCCTGCATTGGCTCATGTCAGTCCTATGAGCTAAGTGCTGTAACCACCCCCCATTTTCCAGATGAGGGACCTGAAGCTCTGGACACAAAGCCAAGGAGCAGCAGAGCTGGGATTTGAGCTCAGATCTGTCTGACTTCAGAGCCTGTGTCTGCAGCAGGTCGACCTGGCTGGTGTCTGTCTTCCCCCGGTCACTTGGTTGGGAGGCTTGTCCCTGGGACCGTCTGGGGTCTCACTCTGTTCTGTTCCAGGCCGTGCTCCTGGCAGATATCCTCCCCACCCTCGTCATCAAATTGCTGGCTCCTCTTGGTCTGCATCTGCTACCGTACAGGTCTGAGTGGGGGTGGCGGGAGGAAGGTCAGGTGGGGCCTGAAGAGCGGGGAGGCCAGGAGGGCTACAGAAGTGGTGGGAGGGTTGGGGAGTTGTGGGCGGAGGCCGACCTTCCTCTTCCCTCCCAACCTCTCACCCTCAGCCCTCGGGTTCTCGTCAGTGGGATTTGTGCTGCTGGGAGCTTCATCCTGGTGGCCTTTTCTCATTCAGTGGGGACCAGCCTATGTGGTGAGTGTGAGGTTTTGTGTCAGGTGGGGAATCCAGAGGAACGGAAACAGAGCATTGTGGGGTAGTCTCCCCCAACTTCTGAGAGGAAAGGGATTGTTTTTGTAAGCCTCAGAAGCCTGCTGGGACTGTCACAAGTAGGAGATGGGAGATGAGGTCATTTTGGAGGATGGGTGGTGGTTGGGGTCGGGGGTGGGGGGCAGGGATAGGAGGAAATGGATGGAGTATATGGAGCTTGAGATGAGCAGAGTCACCAAGCCGTGACGGGGGCGGCTGAGGCGTCAAGGATGAGTTCTTGCTCCGGAGTTGATAACTGGGTAGATGGAGGTCCCGTTCCCTATGAGAGGGCATGCAGGGGAGCGGGTTGGTTCTCCTTCAGATCTGAAGCCCCCCCCGTCCAGGGGATCTGTTTTTCGCTGCTCTGAGCTGATGCAGAGGAGGCCATGGCCGGACACCTCAGGGGATCGGGGCGATCGGGGAGGCCAGGTGTGGCCACTGCCATGCTTGTCCTCCCCCCAGGTGTGGTCTTGGCCAGCATCTCGTCAGGTCTGGGGGAGGTCACCTTCCTCGCGCTCACTGCCTTCTACCCCAGGTAAGCAGGCAGAGCCGGGAGCGGGGAAGAGGACCCCCCTGGTGCTGGCTTTGGTCCTTCCTCATTTCTTGTGTTCTTCTCAGGGCTGTGATCTCCTGGTGGTCCTCAGGAACCGGGGGAGCAGGGCTGTTGGGAGCATTGTCCTATCTGGGGCTCACCCAGGCTGGCCTCTCCCCTCAGCACACCCTGCTGTCCATGCTGGGTATCCCCGCCCTGCTGCTGGCCAGGTAGGCTGCCGGGGCTGGGAGGATGAGGGATTCGAGGAGAGACCTAGATCGTGCTCCCGATCTTCAGGTCCCAGCAGCCTTGTTAAGAGGGGATGTGGGTTCTGGACTCAGAGAGGCCTGGTTTGAGTTTTGGAGCTGCTACCTGTTGGCCGCGTACCGTGGGACACCTTTAAGTGATGTGTGTGAAGCATCTGGTAGTGTGGATCGCGAGGTGATAGAAGGGGACGGGGGTGGACTTTCTTTGATTAATTTTGAGGGTATTGGAAAAAAATGTTAACTAGCCAATCAAACCTGTGATTTCACAGATTATTGCTTAGGGCAAGGCCATGTAGAGAAAGTGAATCGATTTAAAGGAAAATAATAATAAGCAAACAATTTATATAGGAGGAGTGTAGACATGGCTGAGTATAGACCTGGTCTCTATAGAAGAGACTGAAAGTTCTGGCCCAGCACAGGATGAACACGTAATAATCATTAGAATAACAATGACAAGGGGCACCTGGGTGGCTCAGTCGTTACGCGTCTGCCTTCGGCTCAGGTCATGATCCCAGGGTCCTGGGATCCAGCCCTGCATCGGGCTCACTGCTCTGTGGGGAGCCTGCTTCTCCCTCTCCCACTCCCCCTGCTTGTGTTCCCTCTCTCACTGTGTCTCTCTCTGTCAAAGAAAGAAATAAAATCTTTTTAAAAAAAAGAATAACAATGATAAGAAAACAGAGCTGGCTTGCTTGGTGTGAGCCAGAAATCCAAACAAGGGTCCATGGGTAGAAACAACAAGGAGACAAATTTCAACTCTAAGGAAGGAAGCACCTTTCCTCAGTTAGAGCTCTCCGGCACAGGATCGGGGGGCCTGCGAGGAGTGTGGAAATGAGGGGGGGCTGCCCTGGGAGGGAGCGGCCTCTCCAGCCCTACAGAGGCGCTTCGGTCTCATCTTCATCCCACCTGTTCCTAGCTATTTCTTTTTGCTCACATCTCCCGAGCCCCAGGACCCTGGAGGGGAGGAAGAGGCAGAGACATCAGCACGACAGCCCCTGATTGGCAGTGGGGCCCCAGAGTCGAAGCCAGGTAGGAAACCCAGGAGTCCCTCGGAGCCGTCACTCTCTCTCTGGACCGGTGTTAGCCTTTCCTCTCTATGGTGGACACAGTCCGGAGGGGAGGTGGATGGCAGTGCTGGTTATGGTAAGAACCAGCGGCATTCATCTATTTAAGAACTACACACTGGGGCGCCTGGGTGGCTCAGTCAGTTAAGCGTCCGGCTCTTGATTGCATCTCAGGTCACCATCTCAGGGTTGTGGGATCGAGCCCCACAGTGGGCTCCATGCTAAGTGTGGAGTCTGCTTGAGATTCTCTGTCTCCCTCTCCCTCGGCCCCTCCCCCCAGTCACGTTCGCTCTCTTTCTCTCTCAAATAAATAAATCTTTAAAAAAAGAAAGAAGTGCTCAGTGAGTATTTACCATGTGCTGATGATCACTGTGGGTACCGGGTGGCTGAGATGAGGAAAGGGGGCAGATTCATAAACAAGCAGCTGAATCGGAAACATGTTATTTTCGAGCCTTGGTAAGTGCTGGCCGGACATAAAGCGGGGATTGCTGCTAGGAACTGAGGGAAATAGAGAAGGGTCCCACCTAGAGGAGGTGGTCTGTGAAGGCCTTTTTGAGGAGGGGTCATTGGGCTGAACTTTGAGTGACAGGGAGTCAGGTTGCAGGCCGAGTGGACAACAAGTGCTAAGAGCCTGCGATGGGAAGGAGCTTGGATGTTCAAGAAGCAGAAGGAAGGGGCCAGTGTGGCTCTGTTGGAGATATGTAGCTATCAAACTGTACAAGAGCCATGGAGAGATCCCACCAGTTAATTCCTTTTTATTTTTAATTGAGGTAATATATATCTAACATGAAGTTTACCAATTTAACCATTTTTTTTAAGAGGCAGAGGGAGAGAGAAAATCTCTCTTTTTTTTTTTTTTAAGATTTTATTTATTTGACAAAGAGACAGCGAGAGAGGGAACACAAGCTGGGGGGAGTGGGAGAGGGAGAAGCAGGCTTCCCGCCGAGCAGGGAGCCCGATGTGGGGCCCGATCCCGGGACTCCAGGATCATGACCTGAGCCAAAGGCAGATACTTAACAACTGAGCCACCCAGGCACCCGGAGAGAGAAAATCTTAAGCACAGAGCCCAACGCAGGGCTCGATCTCAAAACCCCGAGATCATGACATGAGCTGAAATCAAGAGTCGGACGCTCACCCGACTGAGCCACCCAGGCGCCCCTTAACCATTTTTAGTTGTACAATCCCGTGGCATTTAAGTGCATTCACACTAAGAGTGTGAATATGGTTGGCCCTTGCCCACCAGCACCCCTCTGCTGAGTGGGTGTGCCAACCTCACCTGCCCTTTCCTCCCTGCTCCCCTGCAGACTCCAGCTCAAGCCTCTCCCTTCAGGAAAGGTGGACTGTGTTCAAGGTATGGACGGTGGCTGTGGCGACACCCGCCCCCTCCCCGCCGTGGCCAGTGCCCACCTGCCAGCCTTCCACTTAACATCTTTGGACTCTTCCAGGGCCTGTTGCGCTACATCGTCCCCTTGGTCCTGGTTTACTTTGCGGAGTATTTCATCAATCAGGGGCTTGTGAGTGAGAGCTGCTGGGGGGGGGGGGGGCGGGGAGGAAGTAGTGGTCGAGGCAGGGGCCCCGAAGGTCTCCGACCATCTGCCCTGTCTGCCCTTGGCTGCAGTTTGAGCTCCTGTTCTTCCGGAACACGTCCCTGAGTCACGCTCAGCAGTATCGCTGGTAAGAAGGGTGAGAGGCTGGGTAGCAGGATGGGCAGGGGGCTGGGAGGGCCCCTTGATGCTAGGGCCTGGGGGCGGCCGGGGCCACCCTGCTGAGTAGCCACCCACAGGGGCTTCCTCCACCCTTCCTGCCCCCATCGAAGGTACCAGATGCTCTACCAGGCTGGCGTCTTTGTTTCCCGCTCTTCTCTCCACTGCTGTCGCATCCGTTTCACGTGGGTCCTGGCCCTGCTGCAGGTACCGAGCCCGGCCCTCCCTCTGTTCCCACCTTGGCTCCCAGCTTCCCAGACCCCAGGCTTCCTTCCATCGGCAGGAAGTGTTTGTTGCTCGCCGTCAGGTTCTGAGCCCAGGGGACAGGAGGCCAGTAGGCCTCTGGCTCTGTGTAAAATGTGTGGCCTCGGGAGCCTGGCAAACCTGGGTGCAAATCCCAGCTTCTGTCCTCTGTAGCTGTGTGACTTAGGGCAGGTCCCTGAACCAGCCTGAGCCGAGATTGCCTCATCTATGAATCAGGCATGGCCAATATCTACTTCTCAGGGTCGTTGTACCAAATAGAGATGAGAAGAAGTGTTTTAATCCACGAGAAGCACTTACTTAATGATTATTTCCACAAGCCTTGTGCAGAGACACAGGCTTTCAAATAATGTTTCCATGGGTTAAAAAAAAAAAGTACTGTTCTTTTATTCTGGATGGTTCATTACGATAAAATCAGCAATGTTGTAGCCAACAGGTTATTTACCGCAGGGCTGGTGAGCAAATGTAACTTGCCGTGGCAGAAGTATTCCAGCGTTAAGTGAACAAACACACCATTCTTGCCCACGGTCTAACCAAAGTAGCTTCACATAACCAGCCTTCATTGTTTCAAGGTCACGAGTCTATAGCCCCTGAAGGTAACTATCAAAATAAACCTTCCAGAGGTGCCTGGGTGGCTCAGTCATTAAGCGTCTGCCTTCAGCTCAGGTCATGATCCCAGGGTCCTGGGATCGAGCCCCTCGTCAGGCTCCCTGCTTTAAAAAAAATAAATAAAAAACCTTTCATCAGTCAAGGAAAGTCCTTTTTTTTTTTTTTTAAATATTTTATTTATTGACAGCACAAGCAGGGGGAGTGGCAGGCAGAGGGAGAGGGAGAAGCAGGCTCCCCGCTGAGCAAGGATCCCGATATGGGGCTCGAACCCAGGACCCTGGAGTAAGGCAGACGCTTAACCGACTGAGCCACCCAGGTGCCCCAGGAAAGTCCTTTTTAATAAACTGATTGCAATTCTAGGATAAGATACAGACCAAGTGTAGGTTGCACCTGAGTGTTATGACAGCGCCCTGTGAATGTCCTTGAGCTTTCTTCCTTCTATATCTGAGCAGTGCTGCCAGCCCAGGGCCTTGTACCCCAAAAGCCCCAAATCGTTGTGTCAACAATTCTGAACTCGGGGTTCTTTGTTAGATGCCACTGAAATGGGGAGCTTAGGATTTTTGCTGTGATTTTAACCAAGGCTGCTCCATAGAATTAGCAGCTTATAATCATTACAGAAAGAATTCCATTACAGAAAGTGTCTGGCCTCATGCTACAGACAGAAGCCTTGGCAGAGTGTCGCCAGTCACGTTAGTGTCACTGGGATGTGTTTTCTTAAGTGCAGATCTCTGAGCTCACCTCACACTTAATGAATTAGAACGTTCGAGGGCAAGGCCTATGTGGGGCACGAGATGCCCAGGTGATCTCTGTGTACATCAAGCATGTGAACCGCCATGGCGGCCTCCACACTGGGGAGGCAACCCTGTGCGCTCAGGTCTGGGACACTGGGGTCCTCTGAAGGACTGGGGCACAGAGGAGGGACCTACTCCCATGGGTGGGGTCAGAGAGTCTTCCTTAAAGACATGAGAATGCCTTAGCCAGAGTTTCTCCACCTCTGCCCTGTTGACATTTGGGGTTGGATCATTCTTTGTTGTGGGGCTGTCCCGTGCACCGCAAAATTGAGCAGCATCCATGGCCTCTACCCACTCCCTCCCCACTTGCTACAGCCAAGAACATCTGTAGACATTGCCAGGTGTCCCCTGGGTGGCAAAAATCACACCCAGTTGAGAACTGCTCATCAACACCCATAGTCTCAGTCTGGTAAAATGGCGGGAGAGGGGTGGGCCTCTCTCTTCAGGGAGCCCTTGGGAGGAGGCATGAGAGCCCAGGGGAGGGGTCCTGATCCAAGCTGATCTGCAAACAGTGGTGACCAGGAGATCCCAAGTGAGGGAAGGGGAATAGCGTTCCAGGAGCGACATGAGCCAAGGCGAGGTTGGGAGAGAGACCTACAACGTCTAGGGTGCTGGGACAGGATAGGGAGAAGGCCTACCCCAGATCCCAGGGTCTGGTAGGCCAGCTGGGTGCTGGGATTTGATCCGGCTCTGTCAGCCCTCTCCCCAGCATCTCCCAGAACCAGGGGCCACTGGATGGGATCACAGCCTCTGGTCCCAGGCTCAGCCTTCCCCTCCACCTGCATCCCCAGTGCCTCAACCTGGCCTTCCTGCTGGTGGACGTGTGGTTGAGCTTCCTTCCCAGCATCTACCTCGTCTTCCTGATCATTCTGTATGAGGGGCTCCTCGGAGGTGCTGCCTACGTGAACACCTTCCACAACATCGCCCTGAAGGTCAGCGCCAGCTGGGCGAGGGCGCGGGGGGCCTCTCTGGGGAAGGCCTGGGCCGGGGCGGCTAGGACTGAAGCCTCACCCCTGCTTCCTGCCCTCTGCAGACAAGTGATGAGCACCGGGAATTTGCCATGGCCGCTGCCTGTATCTCCGACACTCTGGGAATCTCCCTGTCAGGGCTCCTGGCCCTGCCTCTACACGACTTCCTTTGTCACCTGTCTTGACGTTCTGGCTTCTTGGGACATGGGACACACTAATCCGGGCCTGCAATGACAGGCGGGCAAGCCCGAGCAAGCTCTGGCCCAGGCTTCCCTGAGCGGCGGGGTGCAGAGAAGTGCTGAGGTCCCGTTCCCCTTCGAGCGAGCCAGCAGTTTTCGCCCACTCCCAGGCTGGCCTTGGGAAGTTTCTTCATGGTGTTACGTCCTCAGAATAAATGCCTATTTTATCAATTTTATCAATGGACTCCTGTGCCATTTTTCTGCTTGAAAAAAATATTCTCTTGTTATATGAGCAATATAAACCCACTTTGGAATATAAGCAGGGGAGTTTAAAGAAAGTATTTCAGCAGATTTCTACCTAGTCTTTAAGGCTTTACTCATTCATTCATTCATTCATTCATTTACTGTATGACGCAATCTACATATATTTTACCCCAACACTTAAGTTTGCAAACGTACAGAGAGGTTCAAAGAATTCCTACAATGAGTGCTCATGTATGCACCACCTGGGTTCTGTGGACATATCACATATGTAACACTCCATCCAAATGAGTCTCTCTGATTTGCGTATTTCAAAGTAGGAAGCTGATTTTAATACACTTCCCTCTTTTTTTAAAAGATTTTATTTTATTTTTAAAAAGATTTTGTTTATTTATTTGACAGAGAGAGCACAAGCAGAGGGAGCAGAGAGGGAGAAGCAAACTCCCCACTGAGGAGGGAGCCTGATATGGGCCTCAATCCCAGGACCCCGGGATCCTGACCAGAGCCGAAGGCAGACGCTTAATGACTAAGCCACCCAGGTGCCCCAAAATTTTATTATTTATTTATTTATTTATTTATTTATTATTTATTTGAGAGAGAGAGAATGAGAGAGAGCAAGCACATGAGAGGGGGGAGGGTCAGAGGGAGAAGCAGACTCCCCGCCGAGCAGGGAGCCCGATGCGGGACTCGATCCAGGGACTCCAGGATCATGACCTGAGCCGAAGGCAGTCGCTTAACCAACTGAGCCACCCAGGCGCCCCTAAAATTTTATTTTTAAGTACATCCAACATTGGGCTCAAACCTACATCCAACATTGGGCTCAAACCTACAACCCCACAATCAAGAGAATCATGCTCCACCAACTGAGCCAGCCGGGTGCCCCTTGTACACTTCCCTCTAAACGCTTCAGCATGTGCATTAACCAGAATCTGGTATTTTTGTACAGTCCTTTTTTTTGGTACAATTTTTATACAGTAAAATGCACAAGTCATTATAGATTCTTAAAGTAACTAATGCTGGTTTAGCAGTGTTTCCCATACTCCAATGTTTGCCATGTCTGTGCATGAAAGTACTTTTATTCACTTAATATTTTCATTAAATGACTTTTAATATAAATTTTTTAAAGGACACTTAATGCTACTATTGAAGTCATGGGTTTGAAATGCTAGTTACGTATTCTTCTTTCTACAACCCATAAGAATAAATGCAGACAGTTCCTGATTTATGATGATTTTGACTTAAACGATTTTTCAACATTACAGTGGTGTGAAAGCGATAGCCATTCAGTAGAAATTAGCAGCTTATAATCATTACAGAAAGAATTCCATTACAGAAAGTGTCTGGCCTCATGCTACAGACAGAAGCCTTGGCAGATAATTCATCCTAGTTCATCCTAAAATTCATAAAACATTATCGAAAATTTGAATTTTGAATTTTGATCTTTTCCTGGGCTGGCGATATGTACTATCCTCGCTTGTGATGCTGGGTAATGGCAGCTGACCACAGCTCCCAGTCAGCCCCGCGACCACCAGGGTCAACAACGGACACACAACCCTTCTGCAGCCCTACAACCAGTACAATATTGAATCAATTACATGAGATATTCCACACTCTGTTGTAAAATAGACTGTGTTTGCTGACTTTGCCCAATTGCAGGCAGATGTAAGTGTTCTGAGCACATTTAAGGGAAGCTAGGCTAAGCAATGATGTTCAGTAGGTTAGGTGTACTACGTGCATTTTCGACTTAAGATAGTTTCAACTTACGATGGGTTTATCAGGACACAACCCTGTTATAAGTTGGGGAAGATCAGTACATACCCTTTGGAGCTCAAAGTGAACATCCATGTACGCTCTGAGACTATCCCATCACTACCACTGATGTTTGTGGCCCACGCTCAGGGAAATGCTGACATGGTGGTTAATAGCGTGGGCTTTGCAGGCAGAGAAACCTGGCCTTCAGGTCCCAGCTCTGCCATTCATGAATTCATGATCTCAGGCAATTATCTTCACCTTTCTGCACCTCAGTTTACTGGTCGGTCAAATGGGGGTAACCGTAGTACCAACACGTCATAAGGTGGTTGTGGAAACTACGTGAGCTCTTGGGAAGGCATGGTCAGCAATCAGTAGATGTTAGCTTTGTCCATGCTATGGCTGGAATCCTGCCTTTATTTTTATACTGCATTATGCCAATGGTTCTCAAACTTGAGTGTGCCCCAGAGGGCTGGTGAAAATACAGATTTCTGGGCCCACCGCCAGGGCTGTGATTGAGGAATTGTGGGGTGGGGACCGAGAATATGCTCTCCTATCATACACCCAGATGATACTGCTGCTGCTATTCTTGGGACCACACTTTGAGAATTACTGAATTATGCTTTTCCTTTTTAAGACATTCTTTATATAAAGGGACTTGTATCTAGGATACATAAAGAACTCTTACAACTAAAAAAAAAAAATCTTGGGGACCCCCCCAACACTGGGCCCAACTTCATTCTTTTGCATGTAGATATCCAGTTGTCCCAGCACCATTTGTTGCAAAGACTCCCTATAGATATGTTTTAGAAAATCAGCTGTTGAAAAAAAAAAAAAGTAAAAAATCAGTTGTTGAAAATCAGTTGACTGCAAATGTGGGGATTTATTTCTGGACTCTCAGTTCAGTTCCATTGATCTACATGTTTATTCTTATGCTAGTACAACACTGTCTTGATTCCTGTGGTTTTGTACTGAGTTTTTGAAATTGGGAAGTGTGAACCCTCCAACTTTGTTCTTTTTCGATAATGTTTTATGAATTTTAGGATGAACTTGTCAATTTCTACAAAGAAGCCAGTTGCAATTTTGATAGGGATTGCGTTGAACCTGTAGACCAGTTTTGGAAGTACTGCCAATTTAACATTAACTCTTTTGATCCATGAACATGGGATGTCTTTCCTCTTATTTAGATCTTTATTTTCTTCTAAGAATGCTTTCTAGTTTCAGAGTATACATTTTGCACTTCTTTTGTTAAATTTATTTCTAATCATTTTATTCTTTTTGGTGCTTTTGTAAGTGAAATTGTTTTGTTTTTGGGGGGGGTGGGTAGGGGCAGAGGGAGAAGGAGAAAGAGAATCTTAAGCTGGCTCCATGTCCAACGTGGAGACTGACGTGGGGTCTCGATCTGAGATCATGACCTGAGCCAAAATCAAGAGTCAGACACTTAAGTGACTGAGCAGCCCAGGCATCCCAGTGGAATTGTTTTCTTAATTTCCTTTTTGGATTGGCCTTTATAAATGTATAAAAATACCAATTGCTTTTTGTCTATTGACCTTTTACCCTCCAACCTTGCCAAACTCATTATTATTTCCAATAGGTTTTTGGTAAATTCCATAGGATTTTCTATATACAAGTTCTGTCCTCTGCAAACCTATCTAACCTAGATGTCTTTTATTTGACTTTTTTGCCGAATTGCCTTAGCTAGAACCTCTAGTACAACACTGAGTAGGAGTTGTGAGAGTAGACTTCCTTGTCTTGTTCCTGATTTTAGGGGAAAGGCTTTCATCATTAAGTATGATGTTAGCTGTGGATTTTTTGTAGATGTCCTATATATCATATTGAGGAAGTTCCCTTCTGTTCCTAGTTTGTAATGTGTTTTTATCATGAAGATGTTTTGCATGTTGTCAAATCCTTTTTTTTTTTTGCATCTATTGAGATGATCATGTGGTTTTTGTCTTTTATTTTATTGACATGGTGCCTTACATTAATTCATTTTCATATGCTAACCCAACTTTGCATTCCTAATAAATCTCACTTGGTCATGGTTTGTGTATTAAATTTTCTAGTATTTTGTTGAGGATCTTTGTGCCTCTAGAGATACTGGTCTGAAGTTTTCTCGGGTCACTTTTTGTCTGGTTTTGGTATCAGGGTAATGCTGACCTCATAGAATGAGTTGGGAAGTAGTCCCTCTTCTATTTTTTGAAAGAGTTTGTGAAGAACTGGTGTTAATTCTTTAAGTAGTTGCAGAATTATTAACCAGTGGAACCATCTGGACCTGGGCTTTTCTCTGCGGGTAGTTTTTGCTACATGTGGTTTTTAAGCATTTGAAATGTGGCTAGTGTGCTGAGAAACTGGACTTTTAATTTCATTTAATATATGACAAGTTACAGATGACTATTGTTGACCATATTGGACAGAACAGGTCTTGGACGGTGGTTCTCAATGGGGTGGCACTGCCCCCTATGGTCATTTTGGAAGTTTGTGGGGGTTTTGAATTTCACTATGAAATGACAGCATCGCCCTTACAGGGTGAGGGCCAATTTTCTATGCCTGAGTGGCTTCTCAGTGTCCCCACCAGACATCTAAAATATGGGCCGGGAATCTAACTTCATTTTACATGTGAATTCAAGATATATCTTGCTTGCTTTTATTTTTTTTTTAAAGATTTTATTTATTTGTCAGAGAGAGAGAGAGAGAGAGAGAAAGCACAAGCAGGGGGAGCGGCAGGCAGAGGGAGAAGCAGGCTTCCTGCTGAGCAAGGAGCCCGATGCGGGACTTGATCCCAGGACCCTGAGATCACGACCTGAGCTGAAGGCAGATGCTTAACCAACTGAGCCACCCAGGCGTCCCTCTTGCTTGCTTTTAACATACACTGAACTTTCCAGGAATTCAACTATTATGTACATTGAAAGAAGATTGTGTTTTGTTTTGTTTTGATCTTAACCAAGAGCTGTTCACTGTATTTGGAAAATCCCTTCACTGAAGGCAACACTCATAGTAAAACCTATTGTTTTTTGGCTGCCATTGTAGCTGCCTTGTTCACTGTGATTCTAAATACATGTAAAAAGGCTGAGTATATACACACATACCTCTTTCAAAATATCAAATATAAAGAAAAAAGTTCAACATCTGTTCATACTACAATTGTCTTCTTATAAATCCCAACTACGTCATTGCAAGTAGCTGCAAATCTCTATTTCTTTATATTTCCTAGGGAAATCACACCTTA